GACTCAAAAGATCTAGTTTTGCCTTTGAGACTCGGGCACTACAGCGAAAACATCAGGACGTTCTGCCAAAACTAGTTAAACCAATTGAGATCACACTTACAACTAGCCCCCGTGCAGAGAAAACTGGAAATGTCACCATACACACCTCAGTCCCACAAATCACTGCTAAAAATGAACAATCAGATTTGGTAAAAAAAAAACCGTTCACAATCAGTATGATAGAAGAACTGTATCCCTCAACATCTTGGATTAGAGTTTACACAGACGGATCAGCCAGAAATGCAATAACAGAAGGAGGAGCGGGTATCTACATCGATTACCCTTACAGAGAAAAACAGTCAGAAGCAATACCAACAGGCCTTCATTGTTCCAACTACAAAGCCGAAGAAGACGCTATCACCCATGCAGTACGCTCCATCAGAGACAAGGCCAACAAAACAACAAGTGTGGTATTCCTGACAGATGCCCTATGTGTACTGCAAGCCATTAACAACGATAAACTCCCCGAACTTGAACAAGATCTACACAACATCGAAAGCCTTCAAACAGCATTACAATGGATACCATCTCACTGCGGAATCAAGGGAAATGAAAATGCTGATCTGCTAGCAAAGGAGGGAGCAAAACAACAGCAATATGAAAACCAAGTAAGCTTCTCAGAGATGAAAACCATCACATCACTACACAGAACCCCTCAACAACAAGACAGCTATCACCAACTGGCTAGACCCGAGCAGACGACCATCTTCAGTCTTAGGACAGGACACAACAGACTCAACCAACATCTGCATAGAGTCATGAAAGTCATACCATCACCGATGTGTCCATGTGGAGAAGCTGAGCAGAATACAGAACACCTCCTACAACACTGCAGAATACACCAGGCACTGAGAAACAACACATGGCCAACACCAACAACGCTACAAGAGAAGCTTTATGGACCATTGGAAGCCCTACAGAAGACCACCAGATTTGTAGAGGAGACTGGGACTCAAGTGTGATTTAGGCGAACGAAAAGAAGAAGAAGTTTTAACACAAATACAGTCTAGAGCCCTACGTCCTGGTCCAAATGAAGAATGGTTCGAATTGACCAGTCACCGTCATACATGTTCATGCTCAATATCAGTCTAATTTCTTTTCAGTCAATCGAACAACGATGAACGGTTTCATAAATATATATATATATATATATATATATATATATATATATATATATATATATATATATATATATATATATATATATATATATATATATATATATATATATATATATATTCTTTCTAATTGCCATTGTCAGAGCGTTGTTCTACAGTGTAGTGATTGAATCTTAACTACAACTCTAACTCTTCTGTTACAAGTACGATCGAGTTACAATAGGCACGGTAATTAAAAAGAGGAAATTGATAAATACAGTAATACTGGTCAATATCATCGGTTGTTGAGATAAAATTGGATTGAAGATTATAAAAGTAAAGCTAAAATTAAGAAACTCAATCTTTATAGTCTTGTAGTATTCGTGTTTATTTTGTAATTATTTTTAGTACATGTTTCACACCTCGAACAAAGGATTTTTACGTGTACTAAATCACTTGGTACACCCTAAGCCCAAAATTCATGGTTGGATGACTCTGCCATTGTGTGCATAATTATTGAGCAAATCATTACCAATGATAGGTCCTTACAATCATGGACACAGGGCAAGGTCACCAGACAATGAATAAAGGACCTGATGTGCTACTGTAACATAGTAAAAAAAAATCTACGTGGTTACATAAATTAGTACGGGAAGAAAGATCTCAGTCTTTCTCTTCCCCTGTCTTTCTTCCTGAATAATTCTACATAAGCCAAAATTAAAACATTAAAAATTAATTAAAATCGAATGTAAAACAGAAATTTAAGAAATGTTTAGTAATTAATTGAATATTCAAGATTTATCATTGACATTGGTACTTTAATCAAAATTATCGCATTGGGAAGTGAGGGCAAAAAAAATTTTACTTACTATTTAATTTATTTTTTTATTCCAATTAAACAGATGGATATGGAAATAACGAACAGTATTCAATCTCAACGTCCATTAAACAAATATACAAAATAAGAGCAGAGCAAACACGGACCTCCGAAACATCAGAGGTGGGATCAGGTGCCATGGAGGAGTGAGCATCCCCTGCCGTAAACCGGTCACACCCGCCGTGTGCTCGTTGTCATAATCAGGAAATAACGGAAAAAATCCGTGGTCAATTCAGTGTATAAATAATATGGACTGATTGGGAAACAGCAAAAAGTCTAAATTTAATTATTTCAAGAAGTTCAAATACTTTGGAACCGTCCTATATTGCTCAAGTAGTGCACAATCATGTATATCCAATCGTAAACCTTTCTTTTTTCCTGCTTTTCAATTTCTCCGGAAGCCTTTGCTATCAGGAGAAATTTGTCAGCTTTACCACCAAAAACAAATGTTTAATAATGCCCACAAGAATAAAATTCCCCTGAATTAAATCCATCAAAATGACATGACTATCTTCATACAGAGATTTTTGAATCTACAAAAATGAACCTGTATCCTGTTTGGAGACTACTCACTGTAGACCGTCTCAAGACAGGTAGATATTACCCCGAGGGTATAATTATCACATCTGGGCCTGTACAAAATGGCAACAGTCAGGGTCAAACTATCGTTATCTTGATTGAATAATAAGAAACACACAAAGATGTGTAATTAATTAAATAGACAGAGACACAAAGGGCTTAATTTCTCGTGTGAAGCATGTACTAAGTATGTTGTTAAACTTTTTCTTCGCCATTCGATTTAGTCCCTCGCTTCGCTCGGCACCAAATCTCATGGTACTCGAGAAAAGTTTACCAACATATACTTAAAACTGTTTTTAGGTTGGTTATATTACATTAATCGGTCTCAAAGTGTTATTCATGTCATTCGACGCACCCTCTCTGTGGAGATTCATCCCCAACAACCATAACGTTTTTCTTGCGTGAAAATTAAACATAATATCGTTGTTTTGTAGTAAATTTAATTGAAGATACAATTGATGCAATTTTATTTTCAAGCTATTACACATCCGGTCGCGTAAATCTGACCGATCACTAGATGACGTTCGACCTTCGCTCGGCGCCATAAAAACGTAAACATTTTACGACGACAACGACAGACAACGGACAAAATTTGTTCAGAAAAGCTCACTTGAGCCTTCACCTCAGGTGAGCTAAAAAGAAACTTACATTCAATGCAATTGTCGCAAAGTTTTTTATCTACAAAAAACAACAGAATACGCATTGGGAAAATAGACTTTAGCATAAAAGGTTCGATAACGAAAGATTTTTTGCGTATAAAAATTAAAATGGAAATACCATTTTTATGTTAAAATTTCTGCGTTGATTTGTGCAAAAGCTCTTAAGGACAGATGATACAAACAGTTTTTGTTTTGGAGGAGACTTAATACTATGTCACAAGTTTAGAAAAATGGATAATTCTTTTAAATAATTCACCTAAGAACTGGAAAATGAAATAGACTTGGAAAATATTAGTAATATTTCAATGGAATTTCAAATATAGACAACACTCAGTAAAGGTCTACAGATGAAAATAAATTTCAGAAAATGTTACTTTGGTGCTAAAAGTGTAATATGAACTTTAAGAAAAATATACAAAGCCAGGTTAATTTCATTAGAAAAGGCAAAATGGTAAAAATCAGCTCATGTGATATTGCTGATTTTTTGTCATTTTGTTTCTCCTCATAAAATTCACCTGGCTTGGTATATTTTTCTAAAGTTTATTTTACACCTTAAGCACCAAGATAAAATATTCCGAGATTTATATTCACCTGTAAACCTTTACTGACTGTGATTTTTCTATATTTCCTTTTTATTGAAATATTTATAGAATTTTCCAAGTCAATTTCATTTTCCAGGTCTTAGGAGAAAAAATTCTAAGAATTATCCACTTTTTTTTAACTTGTGACATGATATTTAGTCTCCTCTAAATAAAAAAAAAATGTTTGTATCAGCTGTCTTTAATACTTCATGGAGTGATCTTTATTATGATAGATATGTTCATTGATTTGCTTAATGCTTTCACACAAATCAATAAATTAATGATGCATGATGAAGAAGTAAAGGACTCAAAAGGATTGGACAGTGATTAATGACTTTAAAGGGAGTTTGCTGATAGATTGCATTTGCAAAACATTTCATTATAAAGACCATAAAAAACTTATTAATGTAAATCAGTAGCTAAATTCGAGCTTCTTCGATTATAATGTCATGTAAGAGTCTTCAAAGTAACTTAGCTACAAAAATTGAATTATGCAAAAGCTGTTTTTAGTTTGCCAAAAATCGTTAAAAAAATTGATCCGACAAAGAAGAAAGTACAAAAAGTAAAAATAACTGATTAAAGTACGTCACAAGAATGCATTTGAAAAGAAAAGAAACTTAAAATGGCACTTTAATTAACAAGTTTGATGTTCATAAAAATAAACGTGAGGCTTGTTACAATATAAGTTACCTTGACAATTATCTCCGTCAAAGCCAATGGTACAGTTACACGTGTATCCTCTTATCTTTGATTGGTCTGCCACACAAGTCCCATTCTGACAATCATGGTTGTCACATACATCAACTATTTAAACAAATATTTAAATTAAGTCTTACATCGAAACTCATGGTGCTTAAATAGCATGTATACACCTGTATTTCATTAATTGTTTGGAAAAGTTTTGTGGAATTTTATCGACATTCATTTCTAGTACGTTTCATTCATACATTGCGGTATAAATGTATTTGTACGATGTACAAAATAACAATTTGTATTGAAGGTTTAAAAAGAAATAATTTTTAATATTTGTTAATGGAATTATAAAGAAAAACTAAACGTTCCTTTCATTCAGAGGTTATCAATGCAATGTGTAAACTCATGCTTTCCTACTAGCAACGCTTACATAAAAGTCGTACTTTTACTCACTTTGTGAGTAAGAGGTCATGAGTTAACACATTAATGAATTCTAAAAACAAAACGTTTAATCCATAATAAAATACTTGATAGTTACACTTCATTTCAAAATCAGACTGAAGAGGAAAATTAATAATAATAATGTCAATAGTTGCTATAATACTTGACACTAAACATTTTCTTTAGAACATGAAAGTAAGCTTGAGGTTTGTTGCAATGAAAGTTATAGATAATTTACCTTGACAATTATCCCCGTCAAAGCCAATAGTACATTTACACGTGTATCCTCTTATCCTGGATTGGTCCGCCATACAAATTCCATTCTGACAATCATTGTTTTCACATACAGCAACTATGTGAACAAATACTTATATTACCATAAATCGTAACTCCTGGTGCTAAAATAGCATAATTAAAAAAAATAAACTACACATTTCGACTTGATTTAGAAATCAAAGGACGACAAATTTAAGGCATGAGATATAATGTCATATAATAATTGGTAATAATTTGTGGCAGGTTTGTCCGTGTTGTCTTTTATATAACAACAAAATCAGGGGAAAAAAAGCCACGGCCATTATAACTCTCTTACCCGTGGCTGCTTGCTGTGTAATCTTGAATATTTACGCCTCTCTATTGTGACGTCATATTCAGTCAATGACGAGTTTTGTTTCGATAGCAATCGAAATCAACAAATTACATCAGCAGTATTTCATACACTGCGATTGGGTATGAAAGGTCGCATGAAAGGTTTTCCGACCATGCTTTACTCGCATTAAAAACTTTAATGAACGAGAAATTCTCGTCTCATGCAACCACGGCCAGAATGGGAGAGGATCGTACATTTTGGCTGTGGTTTGCGACGATGGGGGAAAACACGCCATTTAATTAGCTGTGTATCAAAAACATAATAAACACCTTTTATTGTCTTTTGCTATTTTTTGTACAAAAATTATTACTCAACTATATGTTTAGGAATGTCTCTCGTCAAATATGTCGTCATCAGCCTTTACATTACGCAGCACAAGCGATCCAGAGGACTAGATTTATTGGTTTAATTATTAAGGATAACAATGCTTTAAAAAGTATTATATCATCGTTATTTAACCTAATCATTAAAATTAAAAGAAATTAATTTATTAAATACAATTTGTATAGAATATGAATGGATCTAGTAACCTTCGAGCTGCAGAGGGACAAAGAATATCGTTAGAACAATAAGTGAATTCGTGATTTACATCATTTTTTTTAAGTGCCTGGGCATATACTATTTTGATTGAGATGAAATATGGAATATTTATTTCTTCTATAGTGTTATATTTTGAAAAGTGCTGAGAGCTAATCCTGGCTTGCATTACATTATATTTATTTATAACAGAATTTCAGCGAAGTTAATTTTTTAAAGCTATTATACGCATTTTCAGCAAACTTTCAGTACTTTCCAAACAATACAAGCTAGCCTTCAGCACTTTTAGCGTAAAGGAAATCAACATCTTCAAACATGTATCTTTTTTTGAAAAAGAAACATTCGTATTCCCTTGCACTATCCTCATTTTCTACATTCAGATTAACAATTCTTTTCTTATACACAAACAGTTGATACCTGCGATATAACTCGTACTGTGTCTTTCCCAGCCCATGGATGGCTATATTACATTTTCTATAGGTATTTATTGTCATCTCCCTCGGGAGATGACACATCAAGATTGTATGCCGGAAGTGAAGTCCTAGTGTAAGCCTCCATTAATCTTTCGGGAGTCCTCGATATTTTACAGAGTTCCAAGTAGCCTGTAACCTGGATTTCTTTTAGAAGAACTAGCTTAGGAGTGTGTGATCTACTTTCGGTTTAGGCCTATTTGAAAGCCAAGGAAAATTTAGAAAAGAAGTACGATGCTTATAAATATCTATAGTTTCGGTGTGTCGTATATATATTTTCAAAACTATGCCTTATTAAATTGGTAAGCCACACAAGGAGAATTGACAATGACGTGATTTCTATATATAGATTTGTTGACGCGAAGGGAAAACTGGTTCTCGCACAAAAGAACAATTAGATTCTGCAAAAAATTAAAGAAGAGGAGTCAACGCTAATTTTATGTTAATTTTTAAGTCTGTAATTGGATTTATTAAATTAATTCCTGTCAAACTTTAATGATCAGCTGCTTTTAAATGAATGATAATTATTGTTGATAATTCCGTATTGTGTTAAGAAAATATAGTTCAAGGAAAATATTTGAATTTAAGTAAATTCACTCAGTAAACACCCAAAAGCACAAAGACCGCTAGAATGAAATTTCACTAAAAATCGCCTTGGGTGCTCTCGCAGACGTCCATGCTGTCCATATATATACTGCGGCCAAAAGAAACTGCGTACTTTATACTGTGGAGTTTGCTGAATACATCTTCAGGTGTAATAATCATATATTATTGCATTAAAATAGTTCCCTTTCTGTTTTATTTCTTTGACATTATTGATACCAAAGAGATGACATTTCAGGCTTTCTGGAAAGCCAAATTTGTTTGCTTCGTTACGATTGTTTGAAGAAGTGATACATATGAAAACGGTGCTAAGGTCACATTTTCAATGTCCTAAACTATTTAACATAGCTGAGTATTAATTAATTTTAAACTACATATATGTAAGATAATCTTTAGATGGATTTTTACACAGATACGTATAATTAAGGAAAATCTCACTGTCTGAATTCTTTTTTTTTTTTGCAACCATCGTAGAGCATTGAGGGAGATGCCTCAACTACAAATGTTTTTCTCCTATTTGATAATATGAATTATATTTCTTTAAGTTTTGACCATACCGAAACACAAGTAAACTCTAAAAGTAATCGGATAATTCGGAGGCACCTTTCCGAGCAAAGAAAACATCACGTGACTTACTCATCGCAAACCAAATGAAATCTCACGAGAGATGACACATTAAGTTTGATTTCCGGATGTGAAGTCCTATATAAGCTGCCATTAATCAACCTACTCCTCGGCTACACATTGCGAGGTAAAGCCACCTGAGGAGAATCTTCAATTTGACGATGATGTGATTTTCTAAAAATAAACTAGGGATGTAAACGATGAGCAATTTGTCTATTATCGATAAAGAAAACAAGCTGCACAGAAATATTAGAGAGTCAGACAAACAATATCGTCTGGATGGTGATGGGTCTTCAAAATATATGTTCTTAATTAGTAGTCATCTAAGCTATTGCGTTAATGATGGCCAGCGCTCGATAGAAAATTCCAACTAGGTCAGAGTGTGCATATGTATCAAAACTCGCAGGTGAGGCGTTCAATACTTAACGGATAAAAATATCAAAGTTAAAACATTTACAGTAATATGCGCATATACTGATATAAATTGATGACAAAGACCTTTTTTTCTGTGTGGTATATTATTTCCTGCCATTTTTGAATAATACAAATCTTCTTCAGCGAATGCACATGTATTATAAAGTAAATTGCATTAGAAACTACAGGCATTAGAAAAACCCACAAAGAATCATTGCGAGTATTCCCTTGCATTTCTACAATTTTCTTTTTATTAGATTTCAAATATAATTTTAAAACTTACATTCATTTTTATGCAATTTTAAATTATGTCAATGAAACAAAATTTACCAAATCACTTCTCCTACATTTTTTAAATGAAGCCAAATTCTTAATACATTCCTCCTTTACATAGGGCGGATACATGCATTGGAAAACAGGGGACTGATGTTAGGCCCCCATGCAGTTGGTTCAGTAAGCCCCGGAATAGGGTTTTTTGTGTATTTCAAGAGTAAAACCAGGCACATATAAGTATATGTAGAATCGATTAGTTATGTACACTCCAAAGTACGGCATTATTAATACTTGTCAGTAATCGTATATTATAGTTTCAATGGGGGCGGCCCAGGGGACGAAGCCTCCAAAAGGTCCTGTTTTTCGTGTATTTCAATAGTAAAACCAGGCACAATAATAGTGGTATTGTTTATTTATTTACCAAAGTAGGGCATTATTAATACTAGTCATATTATACGTTAAAATGTTTAGGGGGGCGTGTGCCAGTATTTATATCCCCATGGGCACGATGGTCATGGAATGCGATTAAGAAAAATCGTCGAAAAACATTTTGACTGCTGCCATACACTTAGTAAGGTAGAAAAAAAAGAACGCTGAGGTTTTACCTATATTTTTTGTAAAAGAATATGTTTTTAAAATTTACGAATATTTCTTAGTGATTACAATTTTCAAATACTTTGTACGTTCATAAAAGGAATCTTGAGGCTTGTTGCAATGAAAGTTATATACAATTTACCTTGACAATTGTCCCCGACAAAGCCAATAGTACAGTTACACGTGTATCCCCTGATACTAGATTGGTCTGCTACACAAATCCCATTCTGACAATAATGGTTGTCACATACAGCAACTACATAAACAAATATTTAAATTAGGTCTTAAATCTTATCTCATGGTGCTAAAATGGCATAAATGAAAAGTAAATTACACATATCAATTTGATTTAGGAATGAAATGACGACAAATTTGCAGCATGGGATTGATTGTCATATAATTATTGGTAGTAATTTGTGGCAGGTTTATCATTGTTGTTTTTTTTATAACAACAAAATCAGGAAAAAAAACACGCTTCCATTTCATTGGTTTTGTATAAAAAATATGATACATTTGTATACTTGTAGTAACATTGGCGCTGCAGAGGGACAAGGAATGTAGAGAATATAGCTAGAACAATAAGCGTATTCGTGATTTTCATCAAAAGTGCAAGGGCTTAGACTATTTTGTTCGAGGTGAAATGTTAAATTTTTTCATACATATATAAAGTGTATATTTTGAAAAGTGCTGAGAGCTGATCCTTGTCTTCATAACATTATATTTATTTATAAAAGAATTTAAGCGAAGTTAAATCTTTTAGCTATTATACTCATTTTTGGCAAATTTTCAGCACTTTCCAAACAGCACAGACTAGCCCCCAGCACATTGTGGGTAGAGGAAATAAACGGCTTTAAATCTGTATCTTTTTTTGGTAAAAAAATAAACAACCGTATGCCCTTGCACTATCCTCATTTTCTATTATAGGATCAACATTTCTATTTTTATACAAGACGTGACAAACAGCTGATACATGCAATATACATGTATCTGGTATTTACTGTCCAGTCCTATCCATTATGGATAGCCTTATTACATTCTTTATAGCTATTCTGTTGCTTTGTTACAATTGTTTAAAGAAGTAATACATATCAAAACGGTGTTAAGGTCACATTTCCATATTGGTCCTTAACATAACTGAGTATATATCAATTTAGAATTAAGATTAGTTAATTAAGAACAAATACGTTTAATTGATGAAAATCTCACTGTCTGAGTTTTTTAAACAACGATCGTAGAACGTTGAGGGCGATACCTCATCTAGAAATATTTTTATCCTTTTTTAGCTTTTAATTCACAATGCCATCAATACCCATTTACAATTGCCAGTTAACCCGGGTAATTAGGATAACCAGCATAAAAACAACAAAGAAAAAAACTTCAAAATATAAGTTATAACAAACTTCTTAAAAGTTTAAAGGCAGAGATTTTAAGCACCGATTTCAACAGTACCTGGTCTAGGTAGCCCTGTCAATCAAGAGCGTGAAGATCCATCATTGGATGCTGGAACTTGATTGACATTTACTTACTGGTCCCTGTGTATACCCTGTACACCTTCTTTGGGACTCATGGTGACCTTCAAATTAACTCATGATCCTTTGATGTTTACCAAACATGGTATAGAGAAACTGTATTACTATGAAAATTTTATATTGATAATAAATGTATATGAATTAAATATACCTGTAGTGTTTGAAAGGATTAAAATATAATATGCATTTTTTTTAAATTAACCTTTAACGCATTAAACTTTTTTTTTCAAATGAAATTTCGATATTAATTTTAATATGCTAAGTGGTAAACCTAAAGTGGAAATGTTATTGGTAAAGTTCAGAGCAGCACTGTATGAAATAATTAAATTTAAAAATAATGTTTCCAATCATGGGTCACTTAAACTTACATTTTCCTTTTTTATTCAGATAAGAATTTACAAGCAATCTTTTTTAGCATGTGTCATGGTTATATTGTATTATTAAGGTTAGGATAAACCAAGATATTTTTTAGTGAAATGTAGTTAACTTTCTTTTCATTCAATGAATAGATTGGATCCTAGGGAGGAATAAATTAAGTCTAATTTGGTTGTTACAGGGTTTTTTTTTTTAGATTAAACACATCAGTAACATCTAAAACAATCTTTGTTTTCATATTTGAATTTATAGTATGATATATTAATAATTTTTTTTATGTGTAGGGGCATTTTCAAACAGTAAAACATTAATCAATCTTTAATTGAAAAACCTTTTTATTATTAATTTTAAAATTGTCTCAAAATCCCCAACAAAAGTAAAGTTTGGCATCTGGGTAATTCACTGTGTATTAAGTCACTTCCTGTGTATAGGGTTTAGGAGACAGATGACCACAGGTAGACTGCTAGCCCCTAAGGCATTAACACCTGTACATAATAAGCCCCTCCCTCACCTGGAATTTACCACCCGGTAAAAAATATCTGCCTTTAACTTATTCTTTAAACATGTATGTTTTTGACAAATTTTACATTAAATCTACATCTTTTTCCAATGAACCTTTAATGCTTTTTTCAAACATGGACTTTTCTTGTATGATATTTTCTTTTCTGCTTTTCAATTTAAATTTGTATATTTTATATGCCAAATATGATATAATAGTATTATAAAAAAAACTCTTGAATTTGTTCCCAAGTAGAATATCCTATAACAATATGCTTCCATTGCACATCATACCTCATAACAATATTCAACTTTTGCCACACACCTTTTACATTATTACAATCAAACATAAGATGTTTTATATCTTCATTTTCATTTCAACAAAATTCACATTTTGCATTTGCTCTTAATTTACATACTTGAAAAAAAGAATTACAACATAGAATATTATTCAGCAAGTTATAATTAAATTCACTCAGACGGTTATCTTATATGACTTTGATTTCATTTCTATAAATACTACACCAGTGTTCTTTACTCACACAAAAGTTTCGCTAACATGGATATTTAAACTTTTTAGACAACATATTCTCATAGAAAAACTTACATTTTTTATCTGTAATACAATGAACACCACTGTTTAAATTGAAGGAATTTATAGAAGTTGTCTTGGTAAAAACACAGCACTTCATATCAAACATTTTACTCTGTTTAGTTTTTTTTTAATCTTGTATTCACACAACCAGTTGGATTTATTTATAACAGTATTTGAAATTCTTTGTAAGGGTTTAAAGCTACCATTTTCGTCAAGGAGGTCTTTCGTATACAAAATATTACTTGCAATCCAATTTTTGAAGCATATTGTTTTACCTTTAAATTGATATAAAATGTTATTCCAAAGTGGTTGTCGTGCAAATTTGACATTAGATAAATTTGATACTTCTATATTCTTTTTGCAGTCATTGAAGTAACAGAATATTTCTTTATAAAAAGTAGGCAAGTTAGATATAAATGAAAAGTTTTCGAGTTTTCTTTCAGACAATGTAAAAAAATAATTAATGTCTATATTCATTGGATTAAGGTATCCATTTATGACTTTATTTTATATACAAGAATCGTCACTTAGTCTTGGTACCCAAGATGCCTTTAAGGCCTTTAATTTCAGTTAGATATCAATTAATCATATTCCCCCATCTTCTTGCTTGCCTATAACAGTGTCTCGCTTAATTCTATCTCGTTTGTTCCATATTAAATTGAAAACGCTACATTTTAATTTTTATTAACTCGTGGTCTGGAATGGGTAATATCGAGCTAACATATATTAATTTTAATATTGCTAAAGAATTAACATTTATATACAGCGTTTGGATTGCGGATTTTTTATTTTTATTTGTCCCCTTCAGAGCTATCGGAATCAGCATTGCATCCTGAAACGTCACTGTCGGACGCAGTTCTTAGCTCCCTCAGCATCTGAACGATATTGCGCTGTCTAGATTGTTCAGGATGTGCTTGTTTTTGTTTCCGACTAATGCTGTCGCTTAGTTTCCTTTTCCGAATTTTTTTGGAAATTTTCTTCATCACCGAAGGTATTAGATCCAGGCCAGTGATCCGGTTTGGTGTTTAGTGTTCCAGTACGATCCAGTTCCGATCCCATTTCTTTGTTATACGTAGCCTCTACAAAGGTTGCGCACTGCTTAGCGGTCTTCAGCTTTTCTTAGAAGACAGGGACTTGAACACGTTTGTTTTCAAGGATATCTGCCACGACCTCCTTTTTTGTCGACTCCCATTGTTCATTTGTTTTAATTTTTTTCCCTAGACGCAGGGTAGAAAGCGCGTCATCTGCGTCTTTTATGGTATTTGCTGCCTCCAAGTAGCCACAACGCAGTGCTTTTAATTATTGAAAAGCATGTTTAGCAGACTTATGTTTGATGCAACAGAAATCCAACACACATCAGCTCCACAAAAATGTGTAAGGTGTTTCTGAGGTTCATAGTGGGGGGCATGATTTGTCGCCAGGGGCATTTGCAGGCTGTTTGCAGACTTTGCAACATGTATCGGATGTGCACCGTGATCTAGTGTGGTTAGTACCCCAACAGTTGGTACAAACCAAGTTACCTGTTTTCTTAGGTTGTCCAAAAATGAAAAATTTTACATTGGACACCCGCACAATAGTTTGTTCTAGGTAGGCTTTTACCATCAAGTAGGGGTTTAATGAACATGAATCTTGTACCATTCAAAATACTTGTCATTCTGTTAGTCTCAGGGTGGCGAATCTTTTCGTATAGGATCTTGCTAACAAGTTTGACACATTATTTGTCAAGCATTTAGTGGACAGAAGAATCAGACACAGATAAAGGAAAACCGCATATTCTAAGTTTGTGTTTTCTGATCTTCCGATTTTGCAGGTGTATATGGATTTCTATCGTAGATCTGGTAAGAGATACTGTTAATCTTCATACCATGTATTAGAAGTTTATTTTGATTTTCCGTATTCTTCAAATATATGCGCCAGAGATTCCGGTCCAATTGTACACACAGGAGATCATCACCCACAACTCGTTTGATTATTTCAATCAATTCATACTCAGCGAACTGTTAACATCCTGTAAAGTTCTGTTCTTTAGGTATAACGGTTAACATGTGCTTTCAACCAATAATGAATTAAATTTCTCCGGGTCGTTTTTATCCATGGCAGTACAAAGAATAAGTGAGCGTAACTCACCAGGTTAACTCCAAGTAAACACAATACACTGAATACACTATGTACAAAGAATATTTACAATCCAAGGAAGATTATAAAATTTTTTACACACGAACAGTAGGAAACGCCATAAGATTCCATAAGAAACTTTTTTCACAATAAAAAAGCTCCAATATAGACTTATTTGTCACAAAACACAGATCCCGAGAAGGAACGTCCGACTAGTTCTGTGTCACGAGACTCTTTTACTCTATCTCCTAGTAAAATCTTACAATAATCAGATAATTCGGAAGCACCTTTCCGAGCAAAGAAAACATCACGTGACTTACTTATCGCAAATCAAATGAGATCTATTCTTAACTATTTCAGAGAAATCGTTCCCATAAAACCATCTTATTTTATTTTATTATTTTATATTGAGAAAATCACTAGAAATTAAAAACAGTGGAAGGAGTCTCTAAAACTACAAAGGTTGCTTCGGTGAATTAGCCTGCTCTTTAAACTGCAATTCCTTCGGTATCTTTTTTACTGTTCATCCCGATACAAAAATCATTGACCAGCGATAAAGTAAAGTAATTGATGAGATGCGCAATGAAATATTGGTTACCTATTATAATTAAGAAATAGACAATGTTATTCAGTAAATTTTGCGTTGTAAATAAGAACTGCTCTTCTGCCATTTCCATGATGAGCGCTATTGTAATTCATGGTATGTTGATATCGTGCGCTAGTTTTCGACAAAAATTAAATCTTTAATACTTACAATACCTTCCCGAGTAAAACTGATGTGGTCAGTAGATGCTAATAATGTCAACACCAACAGTATCTATAACCTTTAATTGACACTAGAAAAAGTTCGAAGTTCATAAAAGCTTGAGGCTTGTTACGATGAAAGTTATAAACAATTTACCTTGACAATTGTTCCCGACAAAGCCAATAGTACAGTTACACGTGTATCCTCTGATACTAGATTGGTCTGCCACACAAATCCCATTCTGACAATCATGGTTGTCACATACAGCAACTACATAAACAAATATTTAAATTAGGTCTTTAATTCTAACTCTTGGTGCTTAAATAGCATAATTAAAAAGTAAATCCCGTTATGCAAATTATTCCCTGTTTCCCACTATTGTTGATGCCCTTGCATACTTTCAAAACTAGACAGTGATTCCTTAATTATACGCTTTTTCGGCAAATTAGCAGTACTTCCCAAACAGCAAGACTAGCCCCCAGCACTTTTGGGGTACAGGAAATAAAATCTTCAAATGTTTATCAATTTTTTTTTTCTGGTAAAAAAAAAAAAAAAAGCGGCATGCACTTGCACTATCCACATTTTCTAAATTAATATTAAAAATTCTATTTTTATACAAGACACGTGACAAACAGCTGATACATGCGATATAACTTGTACTATATACTGCCCAGCTCTTTTCCTTATGGATAGCTATATTACATTTTCTACAGCTATTCAGTTGCTTTGTTACGATTGATTTAAGAAGTAATACATATTAAAACGGTGCTAAGGTCACATTTTCCATATCAGTACTTAACATAGCTGGGTATAAATCAGTTTTAAACTAAGATAAGTGTTAAATGGATTTTTACACATATACGTATAATTTATGAAAATCTCTGCCTGTATTTTTTTAAACATCCATCTTAGAGCAATGAGGACGATGCCTCATCTAGAAATATTTTTCTCGTCTTTAATTAAACGAATTATATACTTTTTCAAGTTCTACCGCACCGAAACACAAGTAAACTCCAAAAGTATTCAGATTGTCACAAAGCAAATCACCTAAGTTAATTATTGCAAATGAAAGAGTTAGAAGGTCTGATAAGGTGCAGGTGCGCGGCGCAGGTGTTGTAGCCCTGTTTCTCAAGAGTGTCAATTTAACTAGTTAGAGAGAAAGAGAGTGAGCAAACATGGATTTATAATAGTGTTGGCAACGAGTACCGGGTTAACCGGTTAACCGTCGAACGATGCGCGTATCGGTTAGTAAAATTGCTATTCGGTTACTCGGATAAAATGCATCTTATATAGTAAATAACTAAAAAATAAAATGTTAATTTGTTTATAAGCATACTGTTGCGGGTTCTTTCCCTAGTGATTCCCAAATAATCAAAAAACTCAAAAACGTTTTCACATTTATATAGACAATTCATTGTACATAGTATTCCGGCTCTTGTCTGTCCACACAACGGTAAGTTACTACATCACACCATACTCCGTACACTGTGCACCATACACTGACACCATACACAAAACGACGTAGAACGTAGAACGTAGGACGTAGAACGTAGAACGTAGGACGTAGAACGTAGGACGTAGGAGTAGAACGGGACCTACATAACACAACAATTGTAAACACATTAAGTTACACAGTTA